ACTTGAACTCACTTTGATTCCAGCTCTAGATGAAACTTGAACTCACTTTGATTCCAGCTCTAGATGAAACTTGAACTCACTTTGATTCCAGCTCTGCCCTCCCAACAGCCCAGTTCAATCAAGACAGCGGGAGACAGACTGTGTTGTGTTTAAAAACTGATGGGCCCTTAAATTCATCTTGATAATTTTATCTGCTGCCAGCATATATAAATAGTTCCCAAGCAGTCAAAATTTTAGCAAGTTCATTCTTACCTGAATAATAATCCATAAATTTAGAAAGACTTTAGCTCTTCCACTCTAACATATAACCCACCAAGTTCAAAGAGACCAGGCCATTAGAATTGTCAGTTTGGAGTATGCCACATTTTAAAGTTGCATCCTGTCTTTTTGGATCAAGGACTTTGAGGAGAGAGGAAAATGCTTGGCCACAATTCAACAATCAGGAAACACGTTTTGACTATTTGGTGAATCAGCATCACTCTACTTTCCCATCCTTGAGGGTGCTGCAGCTGGTTTGTTCTGCCCAGAGGGAATAAAAAGGTTAATAGCACTCCGGATGAACTGGAGGGACTCTTGACTCAGAGGGAAGGCCACTCTCACCACCGTTCTGAAAATGCCCAATCTGACTGACTTGTCCACTTAGCTCTGTAAACTACAGTAACAGAGTTCTGTCAGTTTCTGCAGTGCTGTCCAAGAGCTGCCCTGAGAAGAGCGCCAGGCTCCTGCACTCGTCACCTTCAGGAGAGTTTCCCCTGTGTGCTCAGGTCGTGCCTTTGGGCTTTGGCCAGAGGGAGATGGGGCTCCAGCAGCCCTTGGGAAGCTCTTCCACCAGTACCAGTGGCCCATGAGTCCCAATGTTTGCCTCTATTCCCTTGCACATTAAATGATGGGAATGCCATCTAGGTATGTGTGCCCTTGGCTTCGGAGCTTCGTGACAACGCAGATGTTGGGGGACATTGGGATGAGGTATGAGGAATATGAAAAGTCAAGAGACGCAAGTAGGACAACAGATATGGCCCCTTGGGGACCATGAAGCACTTCCCTGAATGGCATTTCATTCACTGCCTGAAGCAGAATTAGTTGAGGAAGGTAATAAAGTCTATGAAAGGATTTTTCTCTGAATGAGAGGAATCACCCAAAGTGGAGTCTTGTTAAACATTCAGATTGACAGAAGCTGAAAGAATCGAAGGGTACCAGGTGCACGCCAATGTACAAAGCTGTGAGGATAAAAATAACGATATCACTAGTTGAATGCTCCACTCAGTATTCATGAAACAACCTTCAGGGTGTCTTAGATGCTATGCTAAGCCCTTTGTCACATCATCTCAGTTTATTCTCCCACAAACTTTAGAAGTAAATTAAAATCCATCTTACTGATAGGAATCTGAGGATTAAGCTACTTCTCAAAGGCACACATCCAATAAGTGGAAAAAGTGAAACATAAACCCAGATTAATAAAACATCCTAAGATCCATTCTATGCATATGAAAATAAATTTTTAATATCTCATACGGTGGGAGCTATTTTTGCTCTTTTCCCATAAGCTGCATTGCAGAACATTTCTCAGAAGGTTAAAAAGACTGGTACACGGCCTCATCCGTGATTCTTCCATATAGGGAGTGACTCAAAAGTAAGTCATATTTGATCACATCAGGACTGAAGCTTCTGAATTCTGAGAGAGACAATTAGTGATCAACTCTCCCTCTCCATCTTGTACGGAGGAGAAAACAGATCCAGACAGATGAGGTGAGAACTTACACAGGGCTGGAGCCGAGGACTATACTGGCCTGACCTCATGAAGGAGCCCCGACCTGGGACCGTAGGGACCGTGCCGAGTTAACAATTCCATCATGCCAGGTAGGAGCAGTTTGATTAACATATGCTCTATTATTTCTACACAATGTGCCTTGGGTCAATCATGTATCAGATTTAAACTTTGGAAGGTTTTCTGTTAATACACATGAACTATTTTCATTTTAATTGTAGAAGATACACTTAATAAAGATGAAGAAATTTCTCTGAGAAAGATAGCAAGTTTGCATTGCTATTTTTATATTATAGCACTACTA